AATGGCATGCAAAGTGGCTGGCTACCGGTCTGTGATTTTAGGCGTCTTTTGTTAAATTTATAGTTTAACTGCATTTTATCGTCTGTATTTTAGTCATATGTACCATACCATATAATATATATTTCTTTCTAAAAATTATCTAAGCAAACTTTCTGCTATGCTTGAGTTTTGTATTGCTTGGCTGATATGTAAAAGCGTCAGCAAATATTTATATAGCTTCTAGCACCCAGCGTTTTTATGCAAAAGTGTTACATAGCAATGTATATCTATACATGTGTATGTATATATGGAATGAAAATTCCATGTTTACTGGATTTGCAATAGCAATCAATTGCGCTTTGATCCCAAGCTTACGAAAGTCAATGAAAATGAAGTGAAAATATTTGGTATACCCTTTACACAAAAATTTAAGAAAATTTCCCTTGAGTTATATGCAGTAATATACGTTCAATTTTGTGAAGATATCTTATCAGAAAACATTTTTCTATACAAGAACTTTGTTTGGATCGTTCAGTTTGTATGGCATCTATTTGTTATAGTCGTTCGATCTGAAAAATTCCTTCAGATATTATAGTACTGCTTTAGATAATACTCAATGCGAAAGTTTGTGAATATATCATTTCTGATAAAAAGTTTTCCATGCATGAACTTGATGCCGATCGTTCAGTTTGTATGGCAACTATAACCTCTAATGGTCCAAGGACATATCCGACAAATGAGCATCTCCTTGAAGAGAAAAGAGCATGAGAAAACCATGAGATGGATAACTCAAAGACTAAGTGAACTGTTTGCGTATATACATGTAGTCAGACGTCGCAACATCGACTCAGTTATAAGGTTCTCAGTTTAGAGATATGTAAAACACATTGACTCGGTTATAGAGTCTTCAGTTCAGACTTTTCGTTTTGGGTGTTACAAGCTTAGTGACAAACCTAATCACCTCACAGCTTAAACGTAAAAATTGATTTTTTTAATTTATAAATACTAAGAACGTTTTAACATAGTGTTTTGTTGTTTCTTCTTCTTCTTGATTGGCGTAGACACCGCTTACGCGATTATAGATCAAAAGTGGGGTCTCTCATCCGAGGCTGTTGTTGCGTTTTCATTGGGGTGGTTTTTTTACGTGGCGGGTCCCAAACCCAGCGCACAACCCTATGCAGGGAATCCCACAGGGCACCTCAGTAGGGTTTTGTTGTTTACAGTAACTTAAAATATTCAGCTCAGCTATCTCGGAACTAAATAGCGAACATTTCCGCACGCTTATTTTTCACAACTTTCGACATGACTTACCTCAGCAACAGTGCATCGACAAACTGAATTAAATTTTTGGCCTTAAAACGACATCAAACACCAGTGTTTATCGTTGGTAGGCAGAACTTGGTAATTTTTAACCAATCAATGCTTTTGAGTCATATAGGGTATACATATTCCTATTGCCAGCAATCGAAGAGTGAATTTGAAATTCCCACGTATATTCGGTTAGTTGGCAATTTGTCGCCTGTCACCAAGCCAAACTGTAACACGAAATATTGCACACATACATCTTCGCATATACATAAATACACATATTCACCTATATAAATACACACCCACCCCCACTGCACTCGAACACAACTCGTGCACATAGCTTCCGGCTAAAAGCTAAAGAAGCCACCGCATACACAAAGCAACCACTTGACTGCCAGACACCTGTAAATATAAATAAACATGCACGCTCGCACATACTTAGGCAAGCTTACACACACACATACGTGCACACATGCGCTTGTTTACTTTCGCTTTTGCACTGAAGATCGTCGCCGCTGCGCGTTGTACACGAAACACATACAAATGTTTGCTGCTTTTGATTTGTAACGCTTGCAATAAACAAAAGTAAATACAATTTAAAACTTGCAGGTTTTTCGCAAATATTTTTTTCGCAATGGCGAAGCAAGAGATCGAAGCATTTGCTAAGCGTGAATGTGTTTGCAGCGTGACATTGAAGCTATCAAGCAGCGTGCTTGTATTTGGCACACATGTAATCGATAACACACAGAAGTTGCTATTTATTGGCGGTTTGATTGGGGTCTTGGAGGGGAGCACATCTTTTCTGGAAAAATATAAATAATGAAATCCTTTTAAGTGGTTGCCAATGTGCAGCGTTATACGTCTTTGCAAATACACATATTACATACACATACATGCATACGCATACATTGAATAGTGCAAATTGCTTTTTTTATTTTCATTAGCTTTATTTCGTTTCGGTATTCTCCGTATTGCATGATAAAAATGTTCATGTTCATGCCTGCATAATGCTTTTATATGGATTAGCCGGTTTATGTTGCTTCACAGTTCAACTGAGGTGCCCTGTGGGACTTTACTTACACTTTACATAGAAGGTTGTAACACAAATACTGTAGGAGATTTTTATTAAAAGTTTTTAAGGTATAGACTATCGAACCCTGAAAATAATATTTTTATACCCATGTTAAGTTTGTCACGAAGTTTGTAAGGAAAGACGCAGAAATTTCAACTTTAAGGGGAAGTGTTTATTATCAGTCGTAGGAACATTCGTTGGTATTCGTTTTTTTGTAGATTATCTCTTTCAAATGTTGGCCACGGCTACATCTCTGATGGTACATTCGTTGAGTCCAATTCTCGATGACTCGTTCGAGCATTTCGATTGCTAACTGGCGAATGACACCCCTGATATGCCCGTGATTGTTCGCATAAACATTAGACTTTACATGTTTGGCTTTTGAAATCCGATAAACAACGACGTAAGCATATAGAAGCTGAAATAATATTTCTTTAAATAACTTTCATTATTCCTATTGACTCACTCTATGAAATTTACACACATATGTACCAAGTACAAGCAACGTATCATGCCTTCAGTTGTTGCAAAGTGAATGCCAGTTTATTACAACATTTTAGTATGCAATGAAAGCTTTTACTATTTGTTTGCATACTTTCAGGCGTGTAGTCTGCATTCGTATACTACTGCTAGGTGTTTACAAAGGTGGTTTGCAAAATATTTGCAATTTTTTCATCACTTAATGTTTGCACTTCCTGCGAATTTTTATGGCATGTTTTCTTGTAGGAAAATAACGAAAATCTGAAAAATTGCTAGCAATAGTTGGATATGTGTGCTTATGATTACATATATGTATGTCCTACCTTATGCTATTGTTTTTACAGTTATTTATATAAAAAAAGAAGTATTTGTTTGTAAATACTATTACTTGTTTTTGAGATATTAGAAATTCTATTCAATTGGAAAGATAAAAAAAATAATGATAACAGCAGTATATTGTATATTTACTCTAAAAATTTGTTTCTTAAAATGTGGCATTTGAATAGTAGATGCAAAAAAAATTTTTATTTTGAAACTTTTATAATGTTTTCAAATCATCTTTTGTCGAGACCGGAGACTATTAAAGAATTTCACTAATATGTTTGAATATTAAAAAAAATTTAGAAATATTTTTAGTTTCTTTATTATTTCGCCAAGATATAGTTGTACTTACATATAAGTAGTTGCTTTTTTTTTTTGTATTTTTTTTTTGTAGGTGAGAGCGGTCTTACGCCTAGGTGTCCTTATAATAGCCGATTGAATATGTTTTGTCGGCCATTTCAAGTATTACTATTCCGTCATAGGTAATGTTCCAAAGGACTGCTGCTCCTGACATAACTTCTATTTACCGTGTTCAATCTCTAGTCTGGCACAGCAGTTTTCTTTAGCTAACATAGCTCCAATCGGGGATTCTAAAATTTTTTCGTCGTTTGAAGGTGTTTCGAACGTCTAAAGTCGTCAGTAGAACTATTCGCTTGTAATTGCTATATGAAATACTCTTTTGAAGGTTATTAATGCAATTTTGTCATTCTGTTGAAAATGTCAAATTTTGAACCGAAAAGTGATGATTTGCGGAAAGAATCTCTCCACCACTAAATCCACAGCGACCATATTCACAAACTGGATGAAGGTGTACAGACTTGACCTTGGCGATGACCTAAAATTTTAGGTGTGACTTTGATAGTTTGTGCTCCTTCAATCATCATACCACCGCGATTGTCGCCAAAGTACAGGGCCGAAACAAAGACGTCAAATCGCTTGTCGGGGAAATGGAGGAAAGGACGTTGTTGGCAACTTACAAGGCAATCGGCCGGCCGGTCCTTAACTACACCGCACCAATATGGTCGCCTGGATGCAGTGAAACGCAGACGAGGAAGCTCCAAACTTGTCAGAACACTCCACTACGACGAGATGTCTCTTGTTGTCTTTTATCGAATACCGGGGCCTGCATAGTGGGGCCCGTATGCTCCCAGTTAAGAAGCGTAATGAACATGCTTGGAGCGATATCGCCTCCTAGGAGCATCAAAAAGTGACTCCTCAACTACGTCGAAGACATTAAACAATATGCCGACCAGAATTCGGACGCAATTAACTTCCGATAAGTACAGACCGCCATTCACAGTGAAGTCATCAATACCTTCACCGACTTCCTCTCAGTGAATGGTTGCCGAGTTGCCACGAGAAACGCCTGCCCACCTCTTTGTATGCCCCACAAACCCTACTCACCTGACACCTCTTTGTTCCGACCCCGTACAAACAGCACATTTATTGGGCCTACCGATGAATGACGTCGACGTCAACTTATTATCCAAAGGTGCCTGTTACAGCAACAACAACTGCCAAAATATATCGCTTCGGTAAGAAGGCAATACTCTGTGTTTGGGGTGATCATAAGGGTGATGTTTTTCACTTGTACTCAATAAATTGAATATAGCCTCTTTGGTAGAGTTTATACCACAATCTGTTTTGTGTTCATTACGTTGGTTTTAATACCAATTTCATGGCCATGAAGCAAAATATAGCAAAATATAGTTATAAAAATGAGTGAGACTACGACTATTAATGTAGCTTTTCTTTTCTTCCTCTGCAATAATAATTTTAATTTCATATATTAACCAATATTAAATGGCATTCACATTAAATTTTTCACTTGTATTTCCAGTTGAATCTAACAAAAACCATGGTACACATTGAGGACAATGGTGAACCCGGTTGCAAAACTGTCTTGGAAGTAAATCAGCGATATCGTAATTTCGAAGATCCCACCTCATATTGGCAATGCGGTCTACAAGGACAACCAGCCAAAATGGTGCGCTGCGATGCGAATAAACTCTACTCGGAGGAGGAACAAAAGTGCATTGACTGGAAGAAATGGCATTGGTCGGATCCAAAAGAGCCACTTAGTCGACCAAGTAAAGCAAACAAGTGAAGAACCAGCAACATCTTGATGAGTAGACTTTAAAAAAGGAGCATACATCAAACTAAGCTTGTGGATATAATAAATAATGATAGGAGTATAGTTTACAGAATCGTCGTTAGGAATTATAAATTCAGATTCTAATGTTTTAAGGCAGACAAACTTAATATATTTACAAATAAAATAACAGTGTTCAGCGTTAAACATTATTATTGGTTAACATATTACATATAAAACTCTCTTATATCTCTTTCCTAAAGCTGTAAACGTGCTCATCATATATTTTCCTTTGAACACCATCGGACATTAGTGCGGCAACCAGCAAAGTTATATTCAATACACTAGTTAACGGTTCACGTATTTCACGTCACCTGGATTTACCTCACCTCTTCTTTCTGTCTTCATTTCAGCGCGAATTATTTGCCACCACAAACAGTTTCCAAACAATTATACTGCCAATCATAAATTCGCTGCTTATTGTGTTTGTCAGGCGAAGTTTCATTAAGTTTGTGTGTCGTTTGTCATCTTAGCCACTCGGTGCTTGTGGTGTTGTCCCTCACAGAAATGCGCTTCGATACGCAGACTTTGACAGCCAGCAAGAGCAGAGTTGCTCATCGCCACAATCATCACTGTGCTACGTTTACATTCCCCGACTATGCAATATTGTTCAGCCGCCGATTTCGATTGCTGTGAGCGCGTGAAGCTTCCGTCGCCGCTGTGTTTTGGCTGTTGCCGACCGCTAACAGCGTAAATACCCCATTTTGTGTACCTTTTGGGCGTTTCGCTGCGTTATTTTGTTGTAAAGTGGCTTAACGGGTTCATTTGCTTCGCTTTGTAATTGTTGTTGCTTTTCCGCATCAGCAGCTTTATTGCTTATGGCTCTTTTAAGTGTTGCTTTTGTTGTTGCCATTGCCGACGTTGTAAACGCTTTTGTTGAGTTTGCATTCAATGTTCCATATCCTGAGTGTTCTAAGTGCTCGCGTTGCCTTTGTGCAGCTTTTAAGTATCTTTTTTTTGTTTTGTTGCTATCGAACTCGTGCGCTTTTAAGTGCTTGAAGCACATTACTCGGCTGTACCACTGATCCAGCCGCTTGTGCTACAGCCAGTTTCAGACACTTCATTGCCTTTTGGCATTTGTCGTCTGCTCTCGAATCCATTTCACTTAAGCGCCTATGCCCGCAAAGGGGTTTGTATGCAAAGTTACACTTCAACGCACAAACACGCAGCACATTTTAAATGTCCCTGTAGTAAAGTTGAGCAATTTATTGGTGTAGACCATAGAGATCCTATGAAAATTCCAGGCTTTTAAAATTATGTTCGCCTTAAATATAAAGAGCCTGAATACAAGGCCTCCGCAGTTAAGGTTTCCCTATTTTTCACTTTGTGGTCCAGAGAGTACGATTATAATTACGTCCTTGTAAAAGGTACATAACGGTTTACTCTGTCTGTCTGAAGGTTTCTTGGCTTACGGAGGGAAAGTCTAATAACATATTGTTAGGGAGTATACCTAGCAAAAAGTTAATTTTTGTTAAATCAAACCATATAACACCCAAAAATCTATTTGTTACGCTGTCACACTAGGTAAGGCCTTAAAAATATATATAAGAGCGGAAGTTGTAAAGTAAAAACTGAAGTGAAGATTGCGTTTATGAGCTGTAGGCGCGTTCTTCAGGATTTTAGCAAAACTATCATTATAGAAATGGGAATGATTGTTTATGATTTACAGGATCATAGCATAGCATAATATCAATAGATGATGATACCGATTTTGAACGAATTTGCCCAAAAGGATACAATAATTCGAATAGAAATTAGTCCATACGATAGACGATGGAGAATTACATGTTATTACATATCCGAGTATGCAGCGTAAAACCTTTGAAAAATATGTCGAACTTTCAACCTTCAAAATATATGTACTAGTCTTCTTCTTTATTGGCGTAGACACCGCTCACGCTGTTATAACCGAGTATACAGCACCGCGCCAATCGTCCTTCCTTCTTCCTGTTCACTTCCTTTTCACCTGTTTGCTAATTGAAGATTCCAAGTGTAAGCAGGCCCTTCTCCAGTCTGTCTTTCCAACGGAGTGGACGTTGTACTCTCCATCTGCTTCGACCGACGGGTACTGCGACAAAAGCTCTCAGAGCTAGAATGTTTTCATTCATTCGGACGACATGACCCAGTCATCGTAGCCGCTGTCTCTTAATTCGCTGTACCATGCCAATGTCGTCGTATATCTCATACATCTCATCGTTTCATCGACTGCGGTATTCGTCGTTGCCAATGCGCAAAAGACCATAAATCTTCTGTAGAACTTTTTTCTCGAAAACTTGTAACGTCGACTCATCAGATATTGTCATTGTGCATGTCTCCGCACTATATAGCAGGACAGATATGATGAACAAATTGTAGGATTTGGTCTTTGTTCGTCGAAAGAGGATTTTACTTCTCGATTGTCAACTCAGTCCGAAGCAGCACTTGTTGGGAAGTGTTATTCTGCGTTAGATTTCAACGCCGACGTTGTTCTTGGTGTTAATATTGGTTCCAAGATAGACGAAGTTATCTACGACTTCCTAAAATGTTCTACAAAGAATTGATGAATGCTCCTTATCAGCTCTTCGATGCCTTAATTTCAGTATGCACTAGGGATCAGTCACTAGATCCCCTCTGCGGATTCTACAAGAACATGTACGTACTAGGAAAGTAACGAAATTTGGGATGATTAATAGAATTTTATGAAGGTAATTATTCTTTTCGATAGTGTTGTTGTCTTTTCGAGTGCTATTATACACTTATGTTGGATATTTATTATCTATTGTTGGAAGACGGGGACCCCACTCCCACAAACATTTTTTTGCCGCGCTAAACAAATATATACGTAAACAATAAAATGCGAGAAGAATAACAAATGTTATTAAATGAGACCCGTTTAGTATGTTTCCAGTCGTGCTGCGTTGTGGTCGCAAATTTTGAGGTTACGCACCAACTGCAATAAGGCGTTAACGATGTAAGCAGCCACAACTCCAACGACCAACGCACCAATGACAATGACAATGTTACCAAAATGAAAAGCTCACCCATAACAGATTGAAAAGCTGCGGTTGGGAAATAACGGGAAGCGACAGACATTATGAAACGTTGTGTGAGTTTGGGCCAAATACTCTGTGGGTCCACGGCGGGTAGGTGCACTGAGACTGGCCAATATTTCCGAGCTACGGAATTAATAGGATACCATATAACCATACAAGTGAACGCATAACGAACGCCGAAGAATATGAAAAGAAATGGAAACAGTGCCAGAATACACGCTAAACTGGGGATCTGCAAATGAATATGACGCACGCCCGACTGCGTTCACGTGAGACGCTTTGACGGTTCACTGCTTGACTGCTTGACTCGTTGGCTGGAACTGGTGTTTTTGCCTGCCGCCTGCTGCTACCGTTTGGAATTTGAAACGCATTGCTGGCGGCGATATTGCTAACGTTTTTTTGGATGTGCCTTATGCCTGTATATTCGCATGTGCGTACGTGTGTAGCCGTGCTTGGTGCACTCGCGCACATCCGGTTAAACGAAATTGGCGTAGACAGCCACTGAGGTTGTACTCAAACGACGGAGCCTGGGAGCGGGACAGTTAGTTGCTAGTTGAGCGAGTGGCATTCGCTCGTGCCACTGGAGTGTCACTTACATGAAATTCTGGCAGGTTAACGCACTTGGCTGATGTCCTGACTGGCTGATTGGTCGTCAAACGAGTGCGTATATTTGTTTCCTTGGCATTTTCAGCCGTTGGCTGGAAGTGGTGTTGCTGCTGCTCTTCACGCTATTGTTGCTCCAGTCGCGGCAATTGTGAAACACATTCGGTTGAAGGCTGCATTGTTAGTGTGACGTATTATGGCGTAATCTAGTTGCCAGAAAATGAATCCTACACAAGCCATTTTGCTGTTCTTCTTGTTATAGTCGATACCTCTGCTCAACATAATTGCTTTTGCTCAGTACAGACATTCATTCAGTATATCCTGAGGACTTTCGGTAAGTACTAATCTTATAGGCACTGACCCAGTTTCGATCATAGTCTCGACTTATACTTAATCATGCTTAGACCGTATTTATGTCAAGCAGTTTTTTTAATAATAAAGCATTTGGAGTTGGCCCTCCCTTTGTTGAAAACTTCAAGACCCAAATCACAAAACGGCGGGTGGGAAATGAAGTCCCTACGAACTTGTAGTACTAGAGGAGTGAATGCACCAAAGTTGAATTTTTATGCTGATATATTACCAGTCTGGGTCATTGCAAAAAAAAAAAAAAAAAAAAAAAAAAAAAAAAAAAAAAAAAAAAAAAAAAAAAAAAAAAAAAAAAAAAAAAAAAAAAAAAAAAAAAAAAACAAAATTAAGAATGATCTTAATAACGGGTGATCTAAACGTAGGAACTTTTTTCAGTAGCCTCTTTTTGACAGATCACACGTGAGTCATGTAAAGTTGTCATGTTATTTTTGTTCAGTATTGTTCGACATTTCATCAAGGAAAGACTTATGCCAGAACAACATTCACAAATCCTTCAAACTTTATTAAAATTGCTTTTGAAAAGTTTCAAGAAAAACTGACCTTTTCGGGCCAAATTTTATTCAGCGATGAGGATCTGGGACGAAAAGTAACCTGAAGTGATTTAAGAGCTGCCACTTCATTTAGAAAAAGCAACGGTTTGGTGTACCTTGTGGGCCGGTGGAAACATCGGTCCATATTTTTTCAAAAATATTTCCGGTGAGTACATAACCGTCAATGGCGACCGTTATCGCGCTATAATAACCGACGCGATAAATTGAAGCTTGTGATCTCCTTGACATTTGGTTTCAATAAGTCAGTGCAACTTCTCACAAATCGCATCAATCAATGGATTTATTGAGAGAGAACACTTCGCTAAGCAGACAATTTCACGTTTTGGGCCGGTCGATTGGTCACCAAAATGTTGTGATATCACATCGTTAGACCTTTTCCTTTGGAGATATGTAAAGTGTAAAGTTTATGCGGACAGTTCTGCTTTGATTCAGGCTTTAAAGAAAACATCAACGCTCGTCACTTGTCAGTTACTAGTCGAAATGCTCGAACGAGTTGTCAAAAATTGGACTCTGGATAGACGTAGCCGCGGCCAATATTTTAAAGTGATCATCTTCAAAAAATAAATGTCAAATAATGTTCTTTGGTATCATAACAAACAT